GGCTGGGTGAGGCAGCCCTGCGCCTCCACGTCTCCCCTCTCCAGGGCAGGGCAGAGCTGACCCATGAGGACTGGGGACAGGGGGCTCTTGGGCGGGCTTCCAGGGTGCCAGCTTTGAGGTGCTGTCCCCGTCTGGCAGGGACCTAAGAGGGTGAGGATAGAGGAGTCTGCGGGACAAGGGAGTCAGCGACCCTGGCAGTGGGACCTCAGGAGTCAAAGCTCGGAAGTCCGGCTCGGGTACATCCACAGGCTCCGAAGGAACGTCAGCCAAGCACTCTGTGGCATCCCCAGATAGGGGCCCTCTGATCCCACGGGCCTGGGCTTGGCACACAGCAAACACTCAGGACACAGCTGGGGACATCCTGCGTGCAGGAACGTGCTCATCTTGTGCTGGACTTCACTCTGGGCTGCTACAGCCGGAGGCAAATGCAGGAGAGAGGAGACCACATGCCCGGGAGGGCCCCAAGGTTCGCCCCTCAACCCAGGAGAGTGAGTGGCCAAGGACCTCAACAGGCAGCTCAGAAGGTCTCTGGATCCTGGCCTGGGAGGAGGTCAAGCTGGCACAGGATGGCCCAGGAATTATGACGGAGGGGAGAGTTCTCAGAGCCATGTGAGATGTTTGTTAAAGTCACAGAGCCCTGTGCGCAGACCTGTGGCCTCCAAAGTGAATACACTGATACCCTCTTGTACTCCTCTCACCCGACATCATTCGCTGAGAGCCAGCAGACCCCTACCAGGCAACAAAGCCACACAGCCTGGAGGGGCGGTCCTCCAGGTCCTCACCCCACCCTTGCCATTACAGACAGGGACCCTGCAGGGCAGAGAGCCAGGCCCAGAGCTGAGCCCACACTGCCACTAACCCAGCCCCTGTCCTCCACACCGCCCAAGGAGCTGAAGGACCCCAGGGCAGCACATCCAGCTTCTGGAAGGAAGCCAAACCCTTTCTCCCCTCTGCACTTTAGAGGAGAGCCTGAAGGCAAAGTGGAGTGGTCCTCCTCCCTGGAAAGACAGCAGCGAACAGCAGCCAGGCAAGGTGCCAGGGGGAGAGGCCTCTGCAGACAGCCCCAGCCCCAGCCCCAGCAGTGGACTTCCCGCCCTCACACATGGGAGAAGGCAGACTGGGGCACAGAGCAGTACCGGGGTGAAAGACTTTTCCCACCGACAAGGTCACGTAGCCATTCTCCTTGAAGTACTGCGGGAGGGTGGAGAAGTTTCCCGAGTGTACCCTCCAGTAGGAGTTGAAGTCATACAGGCGGGTGGTGTCGGGCCTCCGCCCAGTGAGGAAGGACACTCGGCTCGGGGCGCACACTGCTTGCTGTTAGGGAGCAGAAGCACAGGACACTGTCATCACAGACAGATGGGGAGATGCGGCTGCTGTCTCCCAGGTAACCAGGCAACCTCCCCAGGCCCTCAGCAACAGTCTGGCAGCTGAGTCATGCAGATCTCAAAGCCAGCCAGTGGGAACTGGGCTCTGCTCAGGTGCCACAGATTGCGCCTTCCTGGCAAGGGAAGACAGCAGCGAGCCCCTCCAACCAGCAGATGCGTGCATCCTCCTACGTGAGGGTGTCGCCAGGCCCCCAGAGCTCCGATGTGCTTGGGAGCAGCTGAGAGGGGTTTAGGGAGGAGGGCCTCCGTGGCCAGCTGGCTGGCCTTTGCCCAGGGCTCAGTGGGCAGCCCCTTGGGTAGCATTCCACAGCACCAGGCACTGTTCCCTTCTGGGAAGAAGCTGACCAGGGGCAGTCCTGAGCGTGTTAGGGCAAAGTGAACCCTCCACCCGATGAAGAGGGGAAGCCATCAAGGTGCAAGCTTCCTTTTGAATGAACAGCTGGATTTCCAGAGCCAGTTAACAATAGCTGAACCTGGTAGGTCAAGGATGTCCTCTAGAAAGTCATGCAGGAGATGAGGGAAGTAGAATCAGGAAGAGAGTAGAGTTATATTGTTATAAAGTAGAAAAATAAGTTATTTAGTTCCAGAGGGAATGTGTGGTTGGGAATATCCTGCAGAGATGCTCCAATTGGAGGCTAGGGTCCATATCTGGCTATTGTTTATCCTTTATGGACTCCTTGACCAACATCTTAGAAAAGAACAAAGCTATAAATCATTGTCAAGCATCACCCTTGGCAGTTAAGGGTGTGATTATTTCTGTTCTCAGGTTGGGGAGGGGAGACACCAAATCATCTTCTATAGTCCACCTCTTACAGTGCTGAGGTAGGCTTGCTTCACATAGGAAGCTCATCTTTTTGAAGAACGTTATTTGTTTGGGTTGGCTCTTTTCCTTGGTAAGTTCACATGGAAAAGTGGGCCATTCATGGCCCCCACTGTTGAAGCTGGCTTCAAAGCTGCAGTTGTTATTCATGACTTCTATCTTGTGCTGTCCTAGATTCCTCTCAGTCCAGCCCTCTCTTATGTTCTTGGTAGCTCACCTGGTGGAAAGTGGCAGGGCTTTATCCCTAAGGGTTTTGAGCCCCTGGTCCTCATGCCCTTCTTAGGCTAAGAAAAGTGATCTTGTCTTTTTTTTTTTTTTTTTTTTTTTTTTTT